AGTCATTCAAAAATATTACATACAGAAAGTATGCCTAAAGAAACATGGGAGCACAATTCTTCTTCTGAAATTTCTTCAAGTAGAAGAACAGTTTTGTATGTAAAACATACATAGCTGTATGTAAAATGTGAAATAGCATATGGAATATATTGTGGGGGATGGAGAAAGGACAGGGAAATTACATTCTTTAGTAATACTTTTCCCAAAAATTTCTTTCATTTACTTGTTACCATTGAAAAAAAGTAAGTTACTTCCATGCATTATAAACATCTGACACTGTTCAGTTTATATGCCTTATAATACATTCTTCCTGAAATAATTTGCCTGGGCTGAACTGAAAGCACAATACTCCCTCCTCTCAATGTTTGTGACACAAGGTACAATGCTGAAGTAAGTGTTTGTAGATGACAAGCAGGAAGCAGGAAGGGAAATGCTTCCCAAAGTAAAAAAATAAGTGGGATGAGGAATATCATTAAAAGACAAAAATAAATTTAACAGCTTACACAATGCTGATTATTCAGAAAATATGAGAATTAAGTTTATTTTTTTCCTTTGCATTTTATACTAAGTTGATTCCAGTCCATGTTTTAAAGGCATATGTTAACTGTTTAATTGTGTGAGAAAACTGTAATATCCTATTCAGTCTATCTTAATTCATTTTTACTGAAACTTAAGTATATTATTCACATATCTTAAGCACTGTAGTTTCTATCAAACATAGCATCACAGTTAACCCTTATCTACTGCAAACTGCAAAGGTAAGCAGAACACTTACAGAATACTCATTTTAAAAAACTGTTAAATAGCCACCTGTAAAATATGTGCTTAAAAAGTGTTACCACATATCAAACATATTGCCAACTGGGCCAAAACTTGATTATCTTGAAATTGAAGAATCAAGAGCCTAAGAAATAGAATCATGGTCAAGTTATATTCTAACTGCCTTAATGAACATATTTGGGAACAATCAAACAAATTATTTGCCTCTAAGGATCTACTTCACAACATGATTTTACTGGAAAGGAAGAAGTGCTGCCATAGGAGCTACTACAGTAGCCTATCCACTCCTAAATGAGGTTGTAAAAGAGAAGATGAAGCATGGGAACAAACTGTAGAGGCAGGAATGTTGTCATTCTCTCGCAGTATCTAAAACTCCACCTCACCTCATCTTTAGAAGCTCTCTCTCATTACCCATATCTGGTGCACCACAAATAAATGGAAACACGGGGTAGAATAGGGAGGAACATGCCTGTAACTACCACCTCTTAAGTTTCAGCAGCCATTGTATTACAATTTTAGCTATTAAGTCATCCAGTTAAGGAAAAGTAATTAAAAAAAAATAGCATGTTAAATTAAATTAGTAAAGTGGAGAAGGGTTTTCTCCAGCTCTACAGTTAGCTCCCAAATTTAGATCTACTCTAATTGAAATAAGGAAAACAGACAGCTTGTGCAAAAGCTTCTGGAGATACCCGTTCCGTTTGGGTGCACTGTAGTCCACCTTTAAAACCTTTTAGGACTCCATCCTGCTATGCAAGGTGGCAATAAAAGCAATTCAGGTTAAGTACCCCTGCCTCTGTGTCTCAGTGAGAATACTACAAGTTAGTGTGGAGCAGTTCTCTGACTTTGCACCTAAGCTATGTACTCTCTGTGTGGGGTGGAAAGATAAAAACCAGCATTTGCTACAAAGATAACAATGAAATTAACCCATCTTCCACCAGCTTAATTCACATTGAACATTCACATGATGCAAAGAAAAGTTACAACATAGCACAAAATAAGTCACAACCATAGCATAAGAAGTCCAGCTAAATTCAGTCAAGAAAGCATGAAATTCTTCAGTTTTTTCTGGACAGAGCTATAATCTGTTCTTCCATTTGAACTGAAATTTTGTGAGATTATTCAATTGCATCAGGCTGGCTGGGGGCAGATCATGAAAGACAACACAGTGGTACACTTCCTAAGTCCTGCAAAGTTGGGGTTTTTTGTTTTGTTTTTTTTTACTAGGTTCCAAATTTGGCCAGTATGCTTCAGAAAAGAGGTTCAGCATATAATTGTTCTTTCATTCAAAGGACAGAGGAAAAATAAATATGTTTCAAAGAGACACAAATCCTAAACAGTCATGCAAATAACAACAACCTTCTGTTGTTGAGTTCGCCATGCAACATTAACTTTATCCTCCTACGTCCTTTGTCCCATTTATTAATTGCAGCTTTTGCTTATTACCATGACATAATCAGCACTTCAAAGACAGGAAAGGGTCTATTTTTCTGTGAAATGACTAGCATATTCAACAGTCAGAACATAAATTCTCCTTTCTCTGTTTCTGCTCAGCAGTCTGATAGCAGAGTTACTTAGCAACAGATGAAGCAACACATGTGTTGCCTGATCCACACACATTTCACTACAAAGTAACATTCACAAAGGCATTATTTAGCTGATGGTTGCCTCTGCCTAGATGTATTTTTGAAGCGTAAAACCCATTAGTGTGAGACAAGCCTATATGAAAACTCAGCCATCAGGTACTATCTGTAATGCACTATACATTTTGAAATTAACAGAAATTGCCTGTAAGAGTCATGATTTTGAGCACCTCTGAGAAAGGAATAAACAAGAAAATACAAAACACAAGACTATTTACATTATTTACATGGATACTACAGCAGCTGCTTAAAAGGGGAGGGACAATAGGAGTCCTCTTCCTAGCATACAGACAATGTATGAATTTCAAATACACAGACAAAGCCCTTGTACGTAAAGAACACTTTTCTTGACACAGACTATTTCGATTTCAGAGAATGAATACTTATTTTGAAAAGACACACACACACAGAAACCCATTTCCCCAAACCACCTTCTTCACCAGAGGAGAAGGAAGTACTATGTGCCACACCAAACACCAAGGACATTTTTTAAGAAGGGAGAAAAGTAACCCACAGAATTTGACAAACCATTTGCCAACCATTACTCCTTTTTAAGGTAATTCCACAACCAAACAATTCCTGTATTTTTTACTTTTTTTGGAATGTAAAAGTTTCCACTTTACAATTGCATGAGAACGTCTTAAAAGTTGTCTTAGTTCATCACACAAAACTGCACTGCAACAAGACTTGAAAGTCTCTTGCCCCTAGCAAGGGGAAAGCAGAGCAGCTTCTTCAGCTTTGTCATGTAGTAGCATTGTTCAAGTGTTATTTTATTCTAGGGATTCAACAAACACCCTTGAGTTCGTAACAGCTTCACAAATTATTTCATGTGTACATATGAAGATTTACGGAGCTGAATTTTAATTTTACAGAGCTATACCAAGTTTGTCCCAAGTCTTTTTCTTCCTCCTGAAAAATTAAGGATGGGCAGGAATTTAAGTACAATTAGATATGAAAAAAAGGAAGTATATATATGAAAAACCAGGCAAAAATTCAGTTTTGGTAAGTCACTAGACAAATTACCAGAAGAGAAAAAATTTAGATAAATTTCCTATTAATTTGACAACAAATATTTTTGTCTTCTCTGCAATTAAAAATCAGTGCTATGTTTTCAACAATGAAGGCAACCAAATTAAGAGCACATTTCACAATTGCCTTAAAAAACATTAAGGTACTTATTAAGTTCCATTTTAACCAGGAACTTTGATGGCAATTCAGATATTAAAACCACAAAGTCCTTAAGTGCTAGTAACTGCAATAACAACTTCTAAGGTTACATTTCATACTATAAAGATAGTAAAAAATTCAATTATGAGAATTCCAAGATGCGTCAATAAGTTAATAGTTTGCCTCCATATTTCCCAATGATAAAGCACTTACGTGGATATTTAAACTTACTGCATCCTTAATTACAATTACGCCATCTTTCACATACAGTTAGGCAAATCATGAAGGTTTTCCTCTTCCTTTCAAACTCAAATGATTTTAATTAACCCACGTTTCTCTTTCCAGAGAAGGAAGTAGAAGGTTTTTCCTTCCAGACATCTCAGATCATTTATTTTGCTTTTTCATATTTAAAGGTTTTATGTATTAAGGTAAGTATTGGAAGGACTAGCTGACAGTATTCAAGATTGTGTTTCAATACTGGAGGAGGATCATCATGCCCTTTTTCTGCATTTAAACTATACAGAAATCTCAGTTTAGGCCTCTATCTCCTATTTTTCAACTTTCTGTAGTCTGATCAAAACCAATAACTTCTGCCTTTTTCTTTTTTGTTGATTTCAGATTTATTTTTTTTGTATATAAACCAATCTTGTGCATTAGCATGTCTCTATTTGAAGCCAAATATCAAATGTTTCTTGAATACAAGGTATGCTGTTTTCTTACAAACACAATTTATTTGTTCCACACAAAGGTTGTAACCATGACGTTAGCTGACAGCTAAAAATTCAACTGCAAGCATGTTTCACTATTTTTTTTGCAAGAAACAAATTTTTAAACAAAACGAAATTTTAGAAAAATCCTAAGACACTGTTCTGCTATACCATTTACAAGCCACTCTCTTCCTGCTTTAAAAACCATCATTTCAGAGACTGCTTAGAATTAGGAAGCAAGATTGTTTTATTACTCCTCAACAACTTCCTTCTACTAGCACAGGCACACTATCCTGATGACAAAGTGATATATTTCAAGAAAACATTATCAGAGTGTGTCACTTGTAATCAAGAACCCAAGCTACAAAAATCTTATAGCTGTCTGCACTTTTTACTGCACTTGTAGAAACAAAAGAAACATTCCACATGAACTAAATATTTTCCTGTACACACTATGAAGTTCCCAAACAATCAGTCCTGAAATACCATGTTAAAAAACAAGACAGTACATTTCGATTAACTTGTACTTTGCATCACCTTCTGAGCCATCTCTGTAGAATTGCAATTTTCTCAGCCAGGACCATTTTTAAGCAATTCACGTGCAAAAAGCAGCCATTCTAAAGAAAATTTTTAAAATATAAGAGCAAGAGAAAGCTTTGACAATCAAAATGCCTTGGGAAGAAAAAAAATCATGATATGTACTTACTAATTTGTTTTCTTGCATATATATTCTTTGCAGCTTCAGACAGCCTTTAGCTATGATGATCATTCCTTCATCTGAGATCTTGTAACACTGCCCAAAATGTATGTCTTTCAATTCCCTGCATTTTGAACCGAGCTGCAATTAATGAAATCAAAGGGAAAAAAAAACACCAATGGAATTTGACTAAAATGAAGAGATGGGAGAAAAGGCGTTTTTCTGCTTCTCCACCCCCCATTAAAAATTATCTTTCTTTTCAGGCTTTGAAACACTATATGCAAACAAAAGATTCTAATTACACATGCGGCAAAATGAAGTTGCTAACTACGGTCAATAAAATGGAGTTAAGAGCAGCACCTAATAGCTAAGTTATTTACTGTGTGTTCAAGTAGCTAACAATGCCTTTATGCTTAACAGTTTATTTGATTTACCCTAACTCATAAGTGCTCCTTTAACATTTTCTTGTGGATGAAACCTTCTTGCACATCTAACAAATAAAGGTATTAGTCACCTTCAGCATTCATAAAGCAAAAATAGTTACTTCAACACAGGTTTTGAATTGCAACCAAGCTCAGGAAAATTTCACAGATGTGAAGTGTAGGATGTCAAACTGCAGATTTAACTACAAAAGCAATCACTCAATCCCTGGGTATTAAAAAGAAAAAAGGAAGTATGTGCAGTCTCTAGAGAATAGTACTCACTGCACCAAAAAAACTCTCCATACACCAACTTTTAAACCAGAAGAATTTTTGATATTTTAATTAAATCAATCCTAAGAAAGGATATCTTCTGTTACTTGCTAAGCTGAAATATACTAAGTTTACAGAAGGAATTTGTGGAATGGATGGTTACCTGCTTCAGGCCTTCATCAGTGAGTCTGTCTTGATTACCCACATGCACTTTCTGAAGATGAGGACACTGAGAGGCAACTGCAATAATAGAGGTGTCAGAAAGCTGTTTACACCTGTAGGCAGTATACCTTAGGAGCCCAGGACATTTAATTGCTAATATGCATACTCCTGTATCAGACACATTGCGACAGTCAGAAATATTGATTTCAGTAATATTCTGGCTTCTTGATGCTATTTTTTCCAACAGCTCATCAGTCACCTGCAAAGAAAAAAAAATAAAAATGCTCACATGTAATTCTTTCCATACTGATCTTTTATGTCATTAGGACTAAAATAACTGTTTATAAGATGCATTTCCATGAGCTATAGGAAAAACAAAACTGTATCTCCTTTACAAATACTACCAATGGCTTGGTATTTTACTGTAATTGGTTTGTTTCAGGGGTTGGGGGGCCTGATGGTTTTGACAGAATATGGGCTACTGGGGGAAAGCCAGTTCTGACAGACTATGTAGACTGTAGATAGATGGTTTCATGATAAAGCTCAGAGAGGGAGAGGCAACATCTAGACAAGTACAGAAAATACGTGCAGCTGGAGGAATTTATTTCACCACAAAAAGAATCCCGAATGGCTGCCCAACTTACAGAAGCTCTCTGTCAAACAGACTGAGCTCCGGAGTTAGAAGGGTAACCACAGACCTACTTCTCTTTTCAGCCATGAATCTGTGATATCCAGGTATTAGAAAGATAAACTACTTGGTAGAATTTCCTTATTAAGGTTTAGGGCTTGATGTGCTTTAATGACCTCAGCTCCTAGGAGAGGTTAACAATAATGTAATGTAGTAATGTAGTAATGAACTACTGACAGTGGACATTAAGAATGCAGAATTCAGACAAAGACATTTGGCAGAACTTCTTAGATAAGGAAGAAACTGACAAAGCCAACTCAGCAACTGTGTTGAATCACCTCCAACTGAGTAAAAGGTGATTCTGGCAAGGGGAGATGGCAAACACCACAAACCACCAACCCGAAAGACCAGAAAGACTGAGAATGTGGACTAATTAGCATAAGAAGTGCAGGAATTGTTTAACCAACAGAAGGTAGAACACTAACTAATAAAAGAACTATGTAACTTGTAGTCAATAAACATTACTGCTTTTGTTTACTGAAATATATGTGATTTCATATTGATAATAATTCCTGCCCTATGGCAATTGTGTTAGCCTTCATTCCATTATGTTTGTTACTTGTAGTAATGCTGTATGGAAAGGCAGTGTTTCAATACCTTAAAACTTTTCTTTTTTCATTTTAATGTATTAGAAGGTATGCTCAATTAAATCTGTTGAGGAATACACTCAGTGTATAGGTCAGGGTGCAGCTTCAGGGGAGCTCAGGCTGAGCTCCAGGTAGCACAGCCAGAGGCAAAAGGCCATGAACTGGTGCCAGCCCTTTGCACAACAAAGGGCACTGAGACCTGTGGCACAGCCAGGTGAGGAATACTTGGAAATACAGCAGGAGCCAAGAGCCCCAGATGTACCCAAGCACAGACTGTGAGGGTATAAAGCACAGGGTTCCCTTTGCTGGGGTCCCTACACCTCCAGCTTGAGCTGTTATTCTGTTGCTAGATTATCCAGAGGTCTGAGACTCTGCTGTGGGAAACCTGAAGTCAAGGCAGTAAGGAAAGTGGTCTGACTGTGTGGGGTGTGCAGGGAGCCAAGCAGGGCATCCATCACTTCCCTGGGGCTGCCATTGCAGAGCAGCTTCAGTCCCAAACAGGCGGTGCCAGAGTGGCTGACAGAGCAGCCCCTGGATGTCAGACAGCAAAGTTTAGTTAACACCTTTGTAAAAAAATATTAAATCCATTTTTCATCTATAGACATTGTAGTTAGCCAAAGTGACAATAATCTTAAAAGACAACAATCCTACAAAGGACCATTCAGAAAGACCTACCCATCACCTGGCATAGAGAAGATTTAGCTTTAACCAAAGAGGGCAAGAGAGCAACACAAATCCCTTTTGATTTTTGTCTTATACAGGTGATGAGCAGTCTTTGCTGCATTCTATATGGTTTTTATTTGTAGCAAGTCAGATCTTTTTTCTTGTTCTTTCATCAGGCAGGTGTTAAGATGGAAAAGAGTGGTGCTGGTTTTGCCTGCGCTAGAAATAATTTTCTTCACAGTGACTACTTGGGACTATGTTTTGGATTTGTGCTGGTTCTTTTATTGCTGAACAGGGTTTGCACAGAGCCAAGGCTTTTTCTGCTTTTCACCTGGCCATGCTGGCAAAGAGGCTGGGAGGCTGGGAGGGAACACAGCCAGGACAGGTAACCCCCAAGTGACCAAAGGGATACGCCAGACCATGTGGCATCATGCTCAGCGTATGAAGTGAGGGGAACAAGGAGGAAGGGAGGGGCATTTCCAGGGATGAGGTTTGTCTTCTCAGGTCATTGCTCTGTGTGAGGAGGCCCTGCTCTGCTGGGGAAGCCTAAGTACCTGCCAGCCTATAGAAAGCAGGGAATTGATTCTTTGTCTTGCTTGTTTTGTGTGTCTGTGTGCAACTTTTGCTTTCACTATTAAACTGTCTTTAAACTCATGAGTCTTGTAGCTTTTATTCATCCAGTTCTCTCCCCAGCCCTGCTGGTAGGGAAGTGAGGAAGGGGCTGCCTTGGCCTTGGCTTTTGGCTGGGGTTAAACCATAACACCAAATAATTGCAAAGAAAAAAAAAAAAATCCTTCTTCAAATGCAACTGTCCAGTTGTTATTTTTCTGTACCCTGTACTTCCATGAAACTCTCAAGATGCTCTCAAGATATTGCTTATTAACCCCTGCAAGTCACTACTCAACAAGAAACCCAAGGATAGTGGCCAAACAATACTGGCATCCCTAAAACTTTCCAAGGAGGGAAGTTGCCCTGTACAATTTAAGGCTAGGTTCCTAGGGATTTCAATTTCACTAAATTAAACCTACAAATATTTCATTCTATGATTGGCTAAAGGTCTAAAAAAAAAAAATCTAACACAGTCTCTTTTCTAGTGATTAAGAGCCATGCCAGCTGAATAAAATCAAAAGAATTTGTTAAAACAAACAGAGAAAACACCACGTATATTACCGTTCTTCCAACTACAGCACTTTCAGAAAGGCTTATGTTTGTCTTAGAATTAATAAGAGGTCTGATAGTTCCAGACTATCTGATGCAGAGTTGAGACAAATAACCCACAACCCATTTCAAACAGCACTTGTGCTCACACTATTTAACAACTGATCTCAGACAAAATACATTATATTTAAAAGGAACCAATCTATGGGTCCAGACATTTTCAGCTAATATCAGAAAAATCTGTGAAACTACAGAGCATCACCATTTTATGAGTTTCCTTTGTTTCCCCCTGGTCAAAAGTACAAGATCTAAGAACAAAGTCTTGACTTCTGAGTTGTGAAAACAATTATTCCACAATGACATTTTCATACCTGCTGACGACTACTGAGATCCAGTTGCTTCCAAAACTGGAAATCTAAACAGAGGTCACGCCAATATTTACAGACTAATGACACTGAAAGGCAACGCTCATTCAGAGATAAGTTGGAAAATATCTGCAAAGAAGAAAAAAAAAATAAAATGTCAGAAGTAATCATATTTTGGGTACAGAAATATTTTACTACCAATATATCCTGTAAAAGACAGAAAAGTATTAGTATGCATTATAACACACAGATCTACAACTCGCCCCCCGTTTGATTAATCAGAGACAATAACAAAAAAACCTATTAGCATAATCAACAATGGAATATATCCAAAGTACTCATTTTGTAGACTAAGTTTCAGAAGTGCGTCTGAGATGGCACACTTTAACAAATTACAAATTAGCTCAGTGTTATTTGCAAGCCATTTAAAAAGTGCTTTCATTCCCATCCTGAAATGGATGGGAAACTTTTCTTTTTATTTTCTAACTAAACTGGTAAGAAGAGTCATAAAGGTACTAATGCATCAGGTCTTGTGGGAAGGGGGAATGGGATGGTAGAGTCAATTAGCAGAGTAAATCAGTGTCATAGAAGAGAACTGAAGCACAAAATTAGCCTTTTACACCCCAAGGTTTTGAGCACTGTATCAACTGGCAAAAAAAAGAATAAACTGTAACACTACAGCAAGATCATAAATTGCTATAGCATGTATTACATTCATCCACTCCTTAAAAGTATTGTTCTTTATTAAAAAATAGAAAAAGAGGGTCTTAGAAAAAGAGCAGTTAACAAATAGAAAAAGTGTTATTAATAAGTAATAAAAGAGTTCACATGAAGATACCCTGTCAGCACAAATGAGCTTAAATCCACATGCAATCCTATAATGAGAAAAGGCAGTAGTGGCATTATACCTACACAGGAGTACAGACTGCAAAACAAAAGAAAGCCCTCCAACTCATCTAAGGACATTACATACTAAATAGAAGTTCTATTGCCCATCTCAGGCAATTTTCTCAAGAAAATATGAAAATACTGGAGAGTATCCCTAGAAAAGAACTCAAGTCTAGCAAACATGAAAATGTTCAAGAAAAATACTATGACTGCTTAGCCAAGGAAAAGGGATGGCAAAGGGGAAAACACACAAAAGAAAAAAAAAAAAAAAAGGAGTAATGAAGCATTGAATCATAATGGTAACTTACAGAACGTTGGTCACTGGGTGCTCTTTGGAACAGACAAGATAATGAACTGTTGAGAATAACTATAACTGTACCCCTTGTTCTAGGGGATGGCTTACTCCAGCAGTTTTAAGTATGTATATTCCTACAAGGCCCCTTGATGAAGCAGAGCTCTGATATGAGAGGAGGAGGTCAAATTCATGATACTCTACATGCACACAAGATTTATAATTCTCTTCTTTTTCTACCTATTAGAAACTTGCAATCTCTTACCCACGACTCCTTAGTGTTGAAGGATTGTGCGTGAGCCCCATTTTCCCCCATTTGCTTGGCCATTACCAGAGTCACTGTCTGCTTCCCATTGGGCAGCCAGTTAAGCACAGAAGTGGAAACAAAACAATCACTGTCTGCTTTCTCCCTGAAGTTCTTGTCCATACTGGTGAACCCATGTGCAGAACCAGAAGGTGGCTGCATTCAGCACTCAAAAATATACCATCACCCTTGGTCAAACAGAAAGAAAGCACTGAATAGTAAGTGGCAATTTAGCATCTGACATTTCCTGCGAAAGTGTAAATCTAAATATTAGAAAAGATGACAGTCTGATGGTGCCAGTAATTCTAAGTTAGTAAGAGCAGTAGGAAACTTGAATTCCTGCTACAGGCATGAAACAGAAGACTGAATCTCTTAACAGTTATAAAAAGTAGTTCTCTTAGAAGAGAACAAAGCAACACGATCCACATTATGTTTAGACAGATGTCTGACTGCCTCCAATTAATATTAACAAAGGATATCAAGGCTGGCATTATAAAATACTTCAACTAATGTTTACTTAAGTGGGAAATAAATATGCTTATTTGTGGAAATATCACCTCTGAGAAACAAAAGTTTGCAGTTCTAAAGAACATAGTAAACATGGTACAGTAAAGACTGCTGCTAGTACAGCTGCCACTGTTAAATTGAAAGCACATAAATAACTTTTGGATTTTGTTTATCCTGGGCATGGCTTGGTTTGGTTTTTAGAGTAGATGGGCTACAAAGGCAGTTTCTCTGAGAAGCTGGTAAAACCTTCCCTCACATCTTACAGAGCCAGTGTCAGCCAGCACCCAAGATGGACTCACCACTGGCTGAGGCTAAGACAGTCAATGATAGCAGCAGCACCCCTGGGATAACATAAGAAGGAGGAAAAAAAAGTTCTCAAGCAGAAGCAAGTTGCAACCAGAGCAGCAGAAACAAGGTATGATGAACTGAGTGTAGCCCCTATCCTGGTCTTCCTGAGTGGCTGGGGGAAGAAGGCAGAGAATTGTGAATGCAGTTAGGCCAAGGAAGAATACAAGGGTTAGGAAAGATGTAGGTTTCACTTCTCAATATCCTACTCTAATTGGATTGGTAATAAATTCAACCGGCTTCCCCAAGTTCAGTCTGTTTTGCCAATGACAGTAATCACTGTGTGATCTCTCCCTGTCCTGAATTCATGAGCCTTTCCTCATGTTTTCTCTCACCAGTCAAGGAGGGAAATCCCAGGCTTTGGAGGGGAACCTGGTGTCCAGCCACACTATCAGCCCAGCAAAAGCCAAAAGCCCTCACAAATCACAGACCTACTGCTGAACTGTTTCTCCTGTGTGAAGCAGCTGTAGCAACAACAAAACAAAAAAGAAACAAGTTCGATTAAGTGCTTCACACAAACAGTACTGCTGTATAGAAAATATTCTGAAAAATGTCCAAAAGCATTTGTAATCATGTTTTAGTCCATACTGTACTTAAGTCTAGAAGCAGAGAGAATTAAGCAATACAGGAGATGCAAACCAACTTCTTAGAAAATAGTGAGTGAGGCCACTAGGACGAGCAGAGAGACAAAGTCATTGCCGAAGTCCCAGCATGCACAGGACTAGCCAGGTAAATTACAGAAACAGTATGTGTTCAAAAACAAGGCCTTCCAGTTTTATTTTCTGTAGTAGCTCTACAAGTTCCAGCTACAAAAGGATGCTGAATAATGCCATGTAAAACAACAGCTTCCCTTCAGAGCTTGCAATTGTTAGAAGATGACATATTGAATTACACTAAATGGAATTTAGTAGCAAGGACTAGACATATTCCAGGCGGTGGCACATCACTCTTACATTAAGGGATTAGTTGAGCTACTGTCTAAAATACAGCACTAGTGCATAAAATGCTTTGACTCACTTTGATGCCTTCACCACCCTTTAATTCAGTATTATTCTCTAGATATACACTGATATTGTGGCACCTTAATTGTCCTAACTTAAATTTTCTAATTCCCAAGGATGCATAAATACAGCTGAAAAATCCATTTCTACTCACAAGCCTGTTCATTTAACTCCCACATATGACAGATAACTTGGATAGCAATGGTTCTACTTGTTAGCACATTTAATTCCTAAAAATTGTACTCAAACATGTACATTTTCATATCCACCACTCAATTTGTTCCCCCTCAACTCCCTTCAAAATCCCTCTTCCAAACACCAGAATATCCTTCAGCACTGTAAAAGAGAAAAAAAAAAAAAAAAAGGTTTAATAGCTTTTTCTAGAATCATTTTACATTACTTTCCCTGTTGGCAAAAGGCAGGGGTAGAGGAAGCAGAGTTCTGGAAAAGGAGCTCCCTCTCTCTCATCTCACCTTCTTCCAGCCCAAATTCCTAATGTAGATGGTCAGTTCCTCCTGCTTCACCCTTTCAGTGTTAAGATTAGTGAGTTTCTCTTTCCCTTCAATGGTTGCAAGAGATTCTCTGAGCCTTCAGGCTACATCACATTTAAGGATACCTGATTTTCCCCACTGACAGCCTTACCATATCTCCCAGGCAGCGAATTCTTTAACACAAGCTCTTGCTTTGATATAAAACTGTTCATACAGACTCATTAAAGAGCAGTAATGCCTTCCTTGCCTCAGTCTTTAATAGCAAGACTGGCTGCTCTCCAGATACCCAGCCCACTGAACCGGAAGACAGGGAAAGAAGTCCCCCCATAATCTAAGTGACCTGATACACCACCTATCACCTGCACAAGTCTATGGGGCAAAATGGAATCCATAGGCCCTGAGGGAGCTGGTGGAAGTGCTCACCAAGCCACTTTCCATTACCTACAAGCAGTCCTGGCTGCTAACAGGGACACTTCCAGTTGACAGAATGCTGGCACATGTGATGCTGATCTACACAAAAGGCTCAAAGGAGGATCCAGGGAACCACAAGCCTGTCAGTCATGACCAATCCTGGATAAGGGTATGGAGCAGATCATCTCGAGTGCTGTTACATGGCACATACAGGACAATCAGGAGTCAGGCCCTGCCAGCACAGGTTTGTGAAAGGCAGGTCCTGCTGGACCAACCTAGTCTTGCCCCATGACCAGACAACCAGTATGGTGGAATAAGTGAAAGGCTGTGAATTTTGTGTGCCTGGAATTTAGTAAAGTCTTTGACAAAGTTTACTTTGACACAGCACTCTCCTGGAGAAACTGTCTTCTCATGGCTTTCATGGGTGTACTCCAGAAACTGTAAGTGAAACTACACAGGGTAAAGACCATTCCCCTGTGCTGGGCACCAGCTCAAGAAAAATCTTGAGGTGTCCAGAGGGCACTGGAGCACAAGTCTAATGAGGAGCAGCTGAGAGTTTTCAACCTTGAGAAAAGGAAGCACAGGGGGAACTTTATTGCTCCCTACAACTGCCTGTAAGAAGGAAGATTCAGGGTCTTCACCCAGGCAAAAACTGACAGGACAAGAAATGGTCACATGTTGAAGCAGGGGAGGTTTAGTTTAGACACTAGGAAAAATTTCTTCACTGAAAGGGAAGCACTGGAACAGGCTGCCCAAGGCATGGTGGAGTCACCATCCCTGAAGACATTTAAAAGACATGTAAAAGGCATTTAGGGGCATGGATTATCAGTGGACTTGGCAGTACCAGGTTAATGGTCAGATTTAATGATCTTAGAGATGTTTTCCAACAT